CCCCAAAACCCCAAAACCCCAAAACCCCAAAACCCCAAAACCCCAAAACCCCTCTTCTCAAGAAAATAATTGATAGTATATAATTAATAAAGATGAACGGGTTTGGCTATGGATCAATGAACGGCTCTCCTTATGGATCAGGAATGGGAGGAGGTTATATGGGCAACCAATATAACCAGAACAACCAGCAACAACCTCCTGAGGACCAGCAGAACTTTATGAATTCCATCCGAACCTTAGTATCTGGGCTGAGCGCAGTCACTGGAATTTCTTATGGATTATCCACCTTCTTTGGTCTCTTTTATAAAGCTATAAAATTCTTAAACATTTTTAAAGGCAAGAAGAAAACTACTGACCTCCTTGACTCAGTATGGAGATATACTGTCAGGAAGCATTCTCGCAGAGGTGTCTGGCAGATGCTTAAAATTCTGGTTGTCTCAATCCTCTTTTGTTCAGTACACCTCTTCTCAGAGTCAATCTCAAGACAAGCTGAGCAGAACTGCAAAGATCAACAAGAAGCCAGTATTGAGGAGGAAAAGGAGGAGGCAAATGATATTTCTGTAGAGGACTTTATGCTCCAAAGAAAATCAGGTAAGAATCCCACCAACCAAATTTTCGATTTATCAATTACGTCATTCCTAACATTTCCTAATCCGTGGTTTAGATAATCAAAAGTCTATCGAAATCGGTGAAGAAAATGAAAAATCAACCGAGGTAGAGGAGGAAGAGAGCATCAAGCTGGACAGCCTCCACGATCTCAGTAATTGTGAGCTTTTCACAATCAGTGAGGACACTGAAAAGATTTGAGAATTTGACCAGACAGAAGTGAAAGGAGATCTTTCTCGCTATCTTGGACATCATATCTAATCCTAACAATAACTAATTCTTTTGATAACTTAAGCTTCAGCAAAGGGAATTCGGGAACATTTCTGGAAAATTACTGTTTCAATTCAGCATAATTGCTAAGGGGTTTTGGGGTTTTGGGGTTTTGGGGTTTTGGGGTTTTGGGG